CGGCGTCACCCGGACAGCTTAGAAGTAATGGTCACATAGCTGTCGAACATGTTTTTTTCCCCTGGTGGTGTTTGTGTTCCTGCCTCGTTACAAGGTGAGATCCGGCGCCAATCTACACGTCGGATTGCAGGATTTCCCCCTCCAGCTAACTCCCCCAGCGAGGCACTGCCTCAGTCGGTACAGGCTCCTAAGCTTCACACTGATACCAATCTCCCGAAGTGGATAGTGTATGTAAGTGCAACTGTGTGTGTGTAAGAGTAGAGAATGGGGTAAAGGTAAGGAAAGAACGATCGCGCGCTGTCCATGGTACGTTTGTTGCGGGTACTGATCGGGCATTCGCCCAAGTGTTTGTGCCGTGCAGACTCCTAGTAACCCCTGAACATTCAATTAAAAAAAGTCACGAATGAAAATTATTGAATTAGTTAGCCCCATTAGTCTTCTAGAGTAGCCTCATTGTTGCCCTGAGCTATCTCAGCCGGTTCAAACGAGGAATAATTTACGCCGTAACGGTTCCCCTTTATGCGAAACCTCTCTCTTGTGGTTTTGAATTAAATCACCATAGGATATAAAAATGCAGAATGATTATTTTGTTCGAGCATATCTTGAGGCGCCGTAGAAGATGGCGGATGATAATTTAACACGTAATGTTGAGATTTTCTGGATAGTTCACATTTTCTTTTATCCTACTCAGTTTATATTGAAACATTATATTTTTATAAGTTAATCGACTTTATATACACTCGTACTTGAAACTTTCTTTCTAGATTCCAGGTGTTCGAACAAAGGAATTCCAATGATTAAAACAGTATAAATGCATCAGTATTTTGGTAAATAATACATACCCCATTATAGCTGCAGGGAGAGGAGCAAAGCTGTATAGATGTTAGGTATTTCCGCGTGGCCCCTATTCTCTGGACACTCCCTCTTCTCTTGGTTGTTGGCAGAGCCTTATGAGCAAACAAGGCATGGTGGAATGAGCAAAACTTAATTTCATTAGGCGCAAAAATCGATCATTTGCTTCTTGTCATCTCACACTTTTCGTAAATGCTATGTTAATACTTCAAAATATTAATGCTTGAAATATTAGGGTCAATTGAAATTGTTATACCATTGGTTTATAAGCTAATAGTAGCTCTTACATTGATTAAATCGATCTTATTTATCTACCGACTTTATTTATTTCTAAATATTAATCAAATCGACTTCACTTATCTATCAACTTTATTTATTAAAAATATTAATTAACTCGACCTTATCTTTTAAAACATTTTTCGTATGTTGGAAAGTTACTAATTTGATCAGAAAGTTATATTTTGAAGTGTACGATGTATCTTAAAGAAACGATTCTATAACTGAACCACAAAATACTTACTACACTCTCTGAATGATAAACTAATGTGTGAAGTGGTGGTGTGTGTCCAGAGAATGAATTTAACCCCTTCGAGCAACCTTTAGTTGGAGTAGGTTGCACACGTCCTGTTACGTTCCAGTCCTGAAGGAGACTGGCTATTTATTCGTTACTTAGGCAACTACTTCGCGTTGTTGGTTGGCTACATGTACATTCACAAGGTGCGCTATCAGGTGATCAATTGTTTGTTCAACAAAATATATGTTTTAAGAGCTTCTAACGTTTTTGAATACAATTATTCTTAATAGAATTCAAATATGCTCCGCATGTTTTAAATTTTAAATAGTCAAAAATGTACAGAGTTCAAATTCATCGCAACTCTAGAAACTAATGGCAATAATTCATTTATTCTGTAATTTTTTTACTTGATAGTAGGCTATGTTTTGAAGAATTCACAGCTTAGGAGGTATTAGGAGTCTACAACAGCAGAAAATAACAAATACAGAATATATTGCAATTTCACGCACAGAATAAAATACCCCTGAAAAAAATTGAGTTCACGTTTTTAAACTTGTTGAATACCATAAATACTGTACTTGAAACGTAAGTGAACAATTCTTAGTCTAGACAACAAAAGAAAATCAGTGATGAGAACAAGATATTGATTTTGTTTCCTCTTTCAATTTATATATTAAGATCTGTCCGAATTTAATTCCGAAAAGGGTAAAAAAGAATTGTTGGATAAATGGAGAACTTGTATTTTTCATATCAAATTTTTTGGGTGTACTATCTTGTTCACCTTTATGTGCGTATTGAGAAATATTTTGTCATGATTACGTTAATATAAATAAAACGAAACTATTGGTAGATATGTACGCAAGAGAGCGTTATGAAGTTGACTTCATGGGCGATGTCTCATTTCATTATATTTCAAATCTTATTTAGCGGTGCATAGCGTTGAGTGACCGAAGAAGGTTCTATTGGAGATCATAAAAGCCAGTGCAGGAGGTGCATCGTATTTTATTACAAACAGTAGACAACTACGATTCTGAACATTAGTGAAAAATGTGATTTTAGATTGCTTAAAGGTTTTCACAATATTGGGTAAATGTGTTTGATTCGAGTAGCAACGTCTCCGAATTGTAGTGTGTAATCGTAAAGAACTGAGTTTCTAACATCATGAACGTTTAAAAGAGATTAAAGTTATTGGAAGAATAAAAAGGTTGGGACTGGCTAAGTATTCAGTATAAAGTGCAAAATAATAGTTTTCGAAAGATAATCGTCCCCAGTACAACCGTATTCACATTTAAAATCAGCTACTTTTGACTTTCCAATACAATATTTTTGGAAGAACAGTTTTGAGAGGCTAATCTCAAATTGTTTTACTAAAATTGCCGTGAATTTAAAAAAATATATAAAATTATGAAATATTTTCAATGAAATTCACTTACACTGAAATGTTGATGACTTGCGATACAGATATTTCTCAAAATCCATCTTTTCGTAATATAGTTTATATGTTTAAGGAAACATATGTAGTCATTGTGTCTTGAAAGAACAGTACATTCTGTTATTTTCAATGTCGAGCAAGAACTTACGGGAAGAACAAATGTTCTTTCCTTCAATTTATTAAACCTACTAAATCATATTTACGTTATTAAATAAAAGACAACCCGGGAGATGACGAGAAAAAAAAACAACTGGCTACGATGCTTCGAACTTTATTTCATTTTCCCATTTTTTCCATTTTTGTGAGTTTTGGGAGCAACGCGAGGTTGCGAGACCTCACTCGTCCCGGGCTGGCGCCCCACTGTGCGGGTGGACGTCGTCAGTGGGTGGCGTGGGCGGCGTGGCCAGCCGCGCGTGGCCTGTGACGGGGCGGCGCAGCGCCTCGGAAGGTCATGTCACGGGGGAGGCCCGCGCGCGGCCGAGGGCGGTCAGTGGCGACGGGAAACGGGCATCACGCCCGTCAAAGAAGTTGAATCTCTTGTCCGGAGAGGGCGTCCGGCCAGCAGGGGGAAGCTGGCGCACACCCATTATTCGGTGCAGTTGGAGCCCATCAAGTTAGTTGAATCTCTTGTCCGGAGAGGGCGTCCGCCAGCAGGGATAAGCTGGTGCACACCCAGAAGTTGGCGCAGGTACTAGCCGACGTTTGGCCCATCTCGCCTAACTTTTTTTTGTACGTTCTTTGGATTGTGAGTGGAAATGTCCGCGAGGACGCCGGTTCGATGGCAGCGTGCGTCCTGGGGGCGGTTCTCGGCCGCTAACTCCAGCTCTTTTTCCCGTTTTTATACTTTGTGGGGAGCTGCGCTGCCTCGTGGGGCCGCATGGTGGGCGGCTGGCGCTGGAGGGGGGCGCGGGGCCGGGCCGCCGGCGTGTGAAGGTGTGGGGGTGTTTGGGGGAGAGGCCGCGAGGTGGGCGGCGGCCGCGCCGGCGGAGGGTGCGGCGCTCAGCGGACCAGCTCCGAGCGCGCGGCGAGGACGCTGTAGGCGGGGCAGGCGGCGTCGGCCGCCCTCAGCAGCAGCGACCGCAGCAGCAGTTGCAGCAGCCCGTCACACAGGCCACCACCTGCCCGTCCAACCCGCGGCCCGCCGGAGGGCACCTGCGCACCCGCAAAACGTTCCATTTCATTTCGACGTTGGCGACGTGTGCGGAATGACTCAGAATAAATGTTACAACCTTCTAGAGCATTCAGGGGGGTCGAAGGTGATTACATTTTGCCAATAAACACGTGGAGGAAAATTTCATATAGCCAAGTTACAGTCGTAAAACTTTCCCTTTGTTGGTTCACTCATCGTGCATTAGTGAATGGCGGAAACAAGACATTTTACTGTCCGATCGTAACTCCATTGGATGATGAGTTGCCCACCAATCATGGCAAATATCACACGTGCAACTTTGTTATATGAAATTTCGTACTTCATCTTCATTGGGAAAATCTGATCAAGTTACCCTATATAGTCTACACGTTTGTAACATTTACTCAGTCACACTGTAAAAGTGATTACGTCCCTAGAACATACCATTATTTTAGAAAGTCTTATTGGCAATACGTACACTACTGTGTCACTTTTCTAATATTTCTTCATACTTATTCGTGAGCACTAGTTTACTTTTGGTGTGATAATTTTCAAGTAAGAAGAGCTGGTAACATGAAAAGGTATTTTTGCTCCTTGAAAATCAGGTACAGTGGAGACAAAACACTGGATAATTACAAAATTCGTTAATGAAATATTTAGCCTTTATGTCGTTATTTATCAAACTGACTACATGAATTAATGCAGGTATATTCCATTAATACAAAATTAATTCAATATTGAGAACAGCGAAAAGTAAATTAGAATATGAGAAGAGAATTCGCATTCCAGTAAACTACTATACAATTGTCAGAGTAACATTAAATAGCAAATTTCGAAAATATAAAATAACGAATTAAGCCTTTCTCTTCTTAACAAAATCACTGTAAATTTGCCATAAAATAACATTTTCAAGTGAAGTGTTAACTAACGAATAAATCATAGAAAATTCAAAAAGCTTAAGTCATAGAAAATTCAAAATGCCTTGGGAAATATAAAATAAAATAAAAACTCTGAAGTAATACGCCTGATAGATATCCGGAATTTGAATCACATATGTGCGTATAGATAAGTCTTTTGCAGTATATGCATGAGACATTTAGTCTCAGATTTTCCAGACTTGGAGTTTGGAAGTTCTCACAGTGGAACATACGAGTTCATTCCACATCAAAACCAAGAGATTGTACTCCACCATACAGAATTTTGTAGTATTCCGCCACTTGTAGCCATTTCTGTTTGTATATTGTCATATTGATAACAAACAGCTATTTCAGAAGAACTATTATCTAAAAACATAATTGACACTATTTTATTGTGCTCTCGTGGAAAATAAAGCGGAAAATCTGACTAAAAGGTTAAGATAAGCCCGAAAAAAGATCTTGTCCTCTAATCACGATCTCACGTCATTACATAAGTTAGGATTATAGCATGAGACAAAATGGGAATGCCACACAATATGAAGCAGTACTACTAAATAGTGAAAGTATCTCGATAGTATCAGGGATTCGTATGCTGAAACTCTTTCCCATGTTAGCACCTTTTTCTCTACGTGTTAGAGATCAACAGATGGCGACTTCTGTCCCTAATTTGTGTTTTCGGTTTTTAGATGACACTAAATTCATCACTAAATTCATATCACTAAAGTCTTTAATTTTTAGTGTAGCATGTGGTCACAGATTAAAAAGAATATACAAATTTGTAAATCCAATTGTAAAAATATATGCCTATTCTACCAATGACACATATCTGTAACTGCCTTGAACTAGTTCCTTTATTATAACTTGAGGTTAGTAAATGGTCAGTGTTGGTCTTCAAACCCTGTGTGAGTAGCATTGGCAACAACCGGCAAATCATAAATAGAAATATTTATCAATATAATCAATAATTATGGAGGTGAGTCAGACATTTAAGTACGTATTGTTTTAAAGCCCGACTGACTCGAAACTTTCTAGTTCGATAACCTTTATTTATTCTTTTCACCTCTGGTTGTTGCAAGAGGAACAGTTACGACTCTAAAGATCATCCAATTGAAACAATTTAAGAATAATAAGTGTTCCGGTAAGGTTATTACTTGCTTCACTTTCGAAAACACAATGTTAAATTTAAGGATATTAAAGTAAAAAAAATATGTGAATTGAAAAATAGTGACCAGATGGTGTATGCCGAACTTTGAATATCAGAAGGTGGTACTATAGCTCTGTTCTACATATTTAAAGCTCTAAGGGCAGTCGTTTAGAAAGAAATTAAGAGCTTCTACTCAACTAAATTTCGTGATTTTTATCTTTAAACGAAGGATAAGCCCTATTAACGAAAGGTAACTACAACACAACTGTAGTTGTCGGTCGTTTAGTTTTGCGATTTGGAATCAATCTTTTGCAAACCTGCAAATTTAAATATAATTTGGATTAGTTTATTATATGAGCTTTCAATTAGCTTTTATTTATGAGTTTGTTAATAATTATTTAGAATATAATTATTTATGATTATTTTATATTGTTATATTGAGATAATAAAAGTAATTTGTTTTTTAAGTAATAATGATAGAATTTGTACATAAATTGTTTATATTATAATTGTTGATTATTAATTTTAAGGAATTAGGCAAAATTTATTGTTCGCCTGTTTATCAAAAACAGGTCTTCTTGAATTAATATGAAGTCGTGCCTGCCCACTGAATGGCCGAGGAATATTGACCGTGCAAAGGTAGCATAATCATTAGTCTTTTAATTGGCTGCAAATTTAAATGCAAATGGCGGTTTTAGTCGCTTGTGGACGTTTTTTGAAAACCGGTGACGCCGGCGGCGTGGCCCGCGTGCAATGTAAACGTGCCTCTACGTTGCGGAGGTCTCCCGCGGCGACATCGCCGCCGGCGGCGCCGTTCAAGGCAGCTTGCTCAGCCCTTAAAGCCATGGCAGTGCGTTCATGGATTTGGGATGCATGGGATGCACGAGATAAAGTTTTCCTTCAGTTCATTGACCCTGAAACAACACGTCAAGCTAATGCGATTTCCGCAGCCGGATGGTCGAATTTGCACAATCGGTGCGGTAAGATTAATATTGAACTTACGAATTTTGATGTGCTACTTAAAATCTGTTAATATAATAAGAGATGTGTATCTCAGTGTTGTTTGTTAACTCTTTCGGTGAAAATGTAAGTCATACACTTAGAAGCAACTAGATAACCCTATTAAATTTGTTTATTTACGCATTCCTCATGAAAATGGCTCGCCGCAGAGAAATATCAGAGGACAGTACTATAACTCTGTTCTACATATTTAACACTAAGGGTAGTCGTTTAGAAAGAAATTTGATCACCCTTACTCAACTCAAATTTCGTTATTTTTTCTTTAAACGAAAGGTAACGGATCTTATTAATGAAAGGTAATGGACTGTGAACAACTTCAACACGATTGTAGTTGTCGGTCGTTTAGTTTTCCGAATTGCAATCAATCTTTACGAAAACAAATGGTGGTTTTAGTCATTAACGCGAGCAAGGATGTGAGAGTAAGGTTATACATGCAAGTTATTAAAGTTCTTCCAGTTTTAAGTTCCAGACTATTTGTGTTTATGAACGCAATACCCAGCAATCGTGTCACATTGTCTTACACTTCACAAGTACATTTTAGTAAGTGATTATAATATTATGTTTGGATTATATGTAATTGTATGTGTCCTTTATGTTTCTAAGTTAAGATAGATACAATAGTCCACTGTAATATATTTATACAATTCCTGGTAAATATAAAACTCTTCAGTTACATTTTCATAAAAATCTTTAAATCTCGCTACGAATAGTGACTAGTGCTTCATAATCGTAAAATCCCTTCATTTCATTAGTTTTTGAGTAAAAGTTCTGAACGACATGACACATTTACGAGGGTTTTGATTAACCATGCAGTGCATTAGTAATACTTTTCGGTTAAATCTATTTTACAACTCTTCCGTTTTTGCAATGTGATCACAATGGATCAGCTAGTTTATTGTTTATGCTTAGAAGCTACATACCCAAATGTGCCTTGGCACAGCATGGTGGTCAAGCAGAAACTGCTTTGACCTTAGGTGTTTAGGACTTTGCCCACGTCACAGACGTGGACAAATCTCAGAAGTGGGCTGAGTGACCCTGCAATAAAAATTAATAATGGTTTAAAATAAACTCGAACTGAACTTTCTTTTGATCACAATACTAGTTTTCGAAATTGATAATAACTCGAATTGAACTTTGGATTGGTCGCAAGACTAGTTTTCGAAATTGAAAAAAGACTTATTTAAAAACAAATTAACGTTTTTCTGAAATCTCTATTTTTGATTAGAACTTAGTTTGGTTAACTTCTCAAGCGTAATGTTATTCAAAAAAGAAAATTACCTAAAATCTTCATAAATTACGCCTTACCTGTTCGTAGCCCACGTGGGCGGCTTTCGTTGGATGTTCTGTGAGAGGGTGAGTGGGCTAGACCGGCGGCGAAGACCGTGGGTCGACCTGTAGATGAAGTAGGTCGGACACGTCCTCACTCGGGGCGATTCGGAGCTGGACTGACTGTTTATCCGCTTCCTCGGCAACCCATAACTGTCGCTATGCGCTGGAAAACATCGCTGACAAGCAACGATCCTGTATTGTCGATGGAGGTTATATCTGCCACGAGTATACTAAACGAATTTGAACATCACTTGCGTTTTTCGTGCTTCGTTTTGCACCAGCAATGTATTCATGAAAAGCTTTTGACATTCTTCGTACAAAATCTTTTATTAAATTTTATTATGGTGATGTTCATTATGGCAAAATTACAAAATTACAAAATTTCGTGTTCGGTAATGTATTAAAAAAATGTCTGTTTTTTGTAATGTAAATGTTTTCCAGCGATAGAACACTTCCAGTACTTAAAAATAATAAAAGGAGTCTTTAAGTTATCATGTAGTTATTGAAGTGTTTGGTATGTAAATTTTACTATTTCAGTGTTACGTTAATCTAAATGGTGTATTCTCATTACATCGCTGTGTTGAATAACATAAGAAATCAACGCCAAAACAGTGAAGAATCGAATTATTCTTTCTTCAGGCCCCCTTTTTTTACCGATTCGCCTTTAATTTTTATGTGAGTGCAATTTCACATTTGATTTGTTTCATGCGTATGGGAATGCAGCATAGTTCATTGAGTAAAATAATTAAATTCATTTCTCTTGGTTAACAAAAATGGGAACGATCCGCCGATAATATTCTTAAATTAAGGTCTAATCGTCATACAATTCGTTGATAAATCAACATGTTATTAATATTTAAGCGATTTAGACCTATTATGACGGAACGAAATGACATGACCTTGGAATCAAGAATTTCGAGTACAATAAGCCTGTTATTCGTATTTTTGTTTTCTTTTACGAACATTGAGTAACTAGAACCTAACATGTAGTTCGAGCATACATAATGCAATCGAATGGAAAGCAAAGAATCAATATCGCGAATATTTAGTTGTTCATAACATCTATCATTTTTCAGAGAGAACCTCAATGAAATCAATTACGAACAAGCTATCTCAAATATCACATGGAGTGACTGGGCTTTGGGTTCCGATATTGGATAAATGACAAGCTAGGGGGTTGGTCGGACACAGAATCCCTGTTGCAAGCAGCTGAATGCATACATCCCCTTCGTTTCGCTCTGATCCTTGGGTACTAATCCCTTTGGTTTCATTAGCCCGAGCGTTCGCTCCATCATAGCCGCCATTGGTACTCCGATCCTTGCACTGTAAATCGTATAAAATAG